TCCTGCCAAGTTTCCGAGGCAGCAGGGAAGCCGCGGTTATGTCCGGGGGAATCCCGATCGACCTAGAAATCTTGGGGGGGGGGGGGTGGGGGTGGTGATTTTACAAATGCGGCACTTTTTTTTTTAGAGGGGAGGGGTGGGGCTGATACGAATGCAAGAGGAATAATTCAACAACCAAAAAAAAACACCCGTGCAAAAAATCCAACCACCCCCTACTCCACCCAAAGCTCGGGAGGGGGGGTGATCGTGCGCCCCCCCCCAACCCACCGCACCCATCACCAACAGAAGCTGGCTCAGTTGCGCGGCCTCCTTCTTCTTCTTATCATCATCATCATCATTATTATTTCCTGAGGATTAATATCCTGCAGATTAAAGACGCCAATTTTAGATTTGCAAGTCCGTTCAATTGACTGCTCAGAGGCGGAGTGGATCTCGGTCCAATTCATCCTTTAAAGGAATGGAGACCGCAGGGGGAGCGAGATGTTAACGACCTCGCCTGGTATGCAGGAGGTCGTGGGGTTCGAAACCGACCCTGGCGCCTGCTGCCGCTGCTGTATATTTGGAGCTTGCGTGGAATTTTCTCCGAGTCCTCCGGTTTCCACCCCCCACCCCCTTCACACACATTTAGAAAGATGCGAGAATTTAGCCGCTATAAACGCCCACAAGGTGAGCCGCCACGCCGTTGAGCTATCATTCGTGATGGCCAGGTGGCTTCTGAAATGAGAGCTACACGGCTCAGAGGGCCCCTCACCTGGTCAAACAAATTTGATACATCGTTGTTGTTGTTGTTGTTGTTTCACGTGGACAACGTGGTCGACGTCTTTTTTTGGGGGGGTGGTTCGTGGCCGCGCGCGTGGTGGTGGTGGTGGGCCAGAGGTTGACGCGAGGTCACCCAAGGATTTCGCGCAAAATCAAAACATTTTATTTTTTTTAAAACGCCGTCCCCCTGTGGAACTGCAGGCGACTCGGCGCCGTTACCTCTTGCGGGGCACCGCGGTGCAACTGCTCGGCAACGCTGGGGCAAGTCACGAGTGGCGGTGAGAGTCCCGTTGGCGAGAGGGACCCCGGCGCCGGTCGCCCATTCGATCTCCCAGCGCGGCAATTGAACCACGGTGGTGCAATGTTCTAAAATCCAGTGCCCCCCACCACCCCTCTGAACAGCAGGGAAGAGTAGGCCAAATACCCTCTCTCATGGTGGGGGAGGGGGGGGGGCTCTCCAGAGCTCTCTCAAGTGGTAGGCCCTTCCCGCAAACAGTAGCGTGAATAGAGACATTGCAGGGCTGCACCTTTACCTGGTGGGTGCACGCGGGTTCGGCGGTTCGTGTAGTCGAGCGTTTTCTCGGGGTGGGGGGGGGGGGGGTAGGTGGATCACGCAGAGATCGGACACCTGCTACGGGACTCCTCGGCGCTGCTGTAGGCCCCGCGGTGGCCGGCAGGTGGCAGTGCTGCAAGCGGGACTGTGACCGCTTTGTACGGCTTTCTGAGCGCTCGTCCTTGTACGCGTGCCGGGGTTTCTCGGGGTGTCTCGGGGTTTCTCGGGATTTCTCGGGATTTCTCGGGGTTTCTCGGGGTTTCTCGGGATTTCTCGGGGTTTCTCGAGCGGCAACGCTGCTCACGAGCAAGCTGAGAAAGCCAGTCTCGCAAGGGAGCCCGGGGCCCTGCCATGAGCCTCGCGGTGCGGTGGTGAGTTTGCTTGCACTATCGGCGTTGGTGAGCTGTGGCGAGCTTTTTATTTTGCTCCACGTGGACGAACACCGCGGCAGCACAGAGGAAAACCCCCCACAATGCGAGCGACCGCACCGCGCTCCACCAATCCCCTCGCTTAGACGGGCGAGGCACCGACTTCCTATCCTGCCACCTACAGGCGCCAGCGCGTGCAGGGGGCGAGGGTCTTGCGGGGATGTGGCTGTGAACTCGACGCTGCAACCCCAGGAGAGGGCATCGTGGGGAGGCTACGAGATTGGGCTGAAAGAAGGGGGGGGTGGGGGGGGGTGTTCAGGGAGGAGGAGGGGGGGGAATCGACTCTTTCGCAGGCATCCAGTGCCACAATAAGTGCCCCCCCCCTAATTCGGGCTCACAGCTGAAGTTCCTCGCTCTGAGATTCGAGGCGACGCTTCCTTACATGGGTACGCGACGCTTCGCGCCAGAAACCCGACTCGAGCGCGACCTCTCGCCCCCCCCCCCCCCATCGATCTCCCCCCACTACACCCCCCCCCCCCCCCCCACCAACTCTCCTCTACACACATCGCGGTCACTCCGTGGGAGAAAGTTTCCAAGGATAACGCACGAGACGCCATTTGACGGACGCCGCAGTCAGACGATTCCGTAGACCGGCCCATCTCTACGCAGATACCCTCGCTGGCACGACACGCTATGAAAATGAGATTTTAGTTTGAACTGGCCGTTCGATCCTCGCAAGCGATGCTGCGTCAACCCGCCCCGACCAGAGCGGTGAAGTATGGTCAAACGATCACCCTTCGCCGACACCGCGTGGAGGCATTCATCCGCTACGGACTGACACATAACGGAGCACAATGCTCGTGGAGCGCACGCCATGTCACGTGGCCCTCCTGCGGTCCATGCACACTGAAATGACAGCACAGATAATGCATTTTAGCCACAGCGAGTCTCAAGACTCATTTGCAGGAGGGTCCTGCTACGTTGAGATATTTGACCAATGTCCTCGTTGCCGTATTGCGGATACGCGGATTGCAACGCACACACGAGATAGGCCAGGAGCCACCTGTTCCGATATCGCGGACACGGCTTGCCGGTCACAGCGTGTGAGTCTCGTGGTGTGTGAGCCTCGCGGTGTGTGAGCCTCGTGGTGTGAGTCTCGTGGTGTGAGACTCGTGGGGTGTGAGCCTCGTGGTGTGAGCCTCGTGGTGTGAGCCTCGTGGTGTGAGACTCGTGGGGTGTGAGACTCGTGGTGTGAGCGTCGTGGTGTGAGACTCGTGGGGTGTGAGACTCGTGGTGTGAGCCTCGTGGTGTGAGACTCGTGGGGTGTGAGACTCGTGGTGTGAGCCTCGTGGTGTGAGACTCGTGGGGTGTGAGACTTGTGGTGTGAGTCTCGTGGTGTGAGTCTCGTGATGTGAGCCTCGTGGTGTGAGCCTCGTGGTGTGAGCCTCGTGGTGTGAGTCTCGTGGTGTGAGTCTCGTGGCGTGAGCCTCATGGTGTGAGTCTCGTGGGGTGTGAGCCTCGTGGTGTGAGGCTCGTGGTGTGTGAGCCTCGTGGTGTGAGCCTCGTGGGGTGTGACTCGTGGTGTGAGTCTCGCGGGGTGTGAGACTCGTGGTGTGAGGCACCGCGTGCTAGATTCCGCGTGCGAGTCTCGTGGTATGAGGCTCGTGGTGCGAGTCTCGACGTGTGAGGCTCGTGGTGTGAGACTCGTGGCGTGAGGCTCGTGGTGTTAGTCTCGTGGTGTGAGTCTCGACGTGCGAGGCTCCGCGTGCGAGGCTCGTGGTGTGAGTCTCCGCTTGTGAGGCATCGCGTGCAAGTCTCGTGGTGCGAGTCTCCACGTGCGAGGCTCCGCGTGCGGGGATCTCGTGGCGCGGGGTCTCGTGGCGCGAGTCTCGGCGTGCGTGACTCCGAGTCGTGGGTCTGTGCCGCCCGCCTCTGGAAGTGGCCGCTACTTTGAACTTCGCAGCTCGCGTCGCCGCGCGCAGTTCACGGCCGGAGGGCTCCTGAACCCCACGGCCCTGGTGGGAGGGGTGGCCGTCTCCTCACTATCGACACCAAGGCAATCATCGCACAGACGCGATCATCGTGAGCGTCGCTCGCCACGCCCGAAGCGGAGCGGACCCGAACGGAATGAACCAGCACCATTTGCGGAGTTGCTCTGCGGGTGATTAACATGCTCCGCCATAAGCACGTGGAATTTCCACCGTTGGCTCGTGGCAGCGCCGCGTTTGGAGATGAACCCCGTTCCCGTGGCCCTTCCCTCAAGCGCAGCGCCTTATCGGATTCTGCTGACCCCCGGGAGACTAAAAATGTCTCGCGCGGACGCAGAGGCCCAAGTAAAGCCTCAAGGGATCAAGTTTCTTCCACGTAGATGCCACCCTGCTCCTGCCCCCCCACCCCGCCACCGCCCGGTGGGAGCAGTAGAAGTGGGAGGGTCCCTTGCGCACTCCCCCCCCCCTCCGTCTCCGCCTCTCACCCGAGGGCCCCCCACCTGTTCCCTGGAGCTCCTCGCGTCGCCCCTATAAGAGGCGCGCGCTTCGCGCTGGTGGCAGCAGTCGAGCGTGGCACTCTGAGCAGCAGAGAGGGATCAGGCCGGAGCCGAGAGCCAGGGGCAGTCAAGAAGAACCGAGACCATGGTGGGTGCCTGCTCCGTCGCAGCGGACATTTTTCTTCCTCTCGAGTGGTTAATTTTTTTTTGGGAGGGGGGGGGGGGGTTGGGGAGTGATTTTATCCCCACTTTTTTTTTTTACAATTTGAATTTTCTTTAGCATTTTTTTGTTGTTTTTACTTTGAAACTTTATTTTTTTTTTAAAACACACACACAAATTCGATTTCAGCGGCTTTGGCTCCCTGTGAGCGCCGCTCAGGAACGATGCGTTGACAGTAACGGTGGCGCTGTGTCTGTGCGGCTCTGTCTGTGCTCTCTGTACTACTTCTCCGCTCGCTCCCACAGTCGTTCACCGCGGACCAGATTGATGGTGAGTGGCGACCTTCCCCCCCCCCTACCCCCCTGCCCCTCCTCGTGTCGTGTTCCCCGTGGCCTCCGCCTGCCTCTCGCCAAGCCCTGGGGTCACCCCCCCCCCCATCCCTGGGAGGGGCGAGGGGTATTGGGAAAACCCAATAACAATTCCAAACATAATTTCAATGGGCCCGAGTCCTTGAGACATTGGCGGAAATTCCACATTGCTATGACGGGGCCCAGCGTCCCCCCCCCAATTTTCTCGGGCCCCCCACTTGCTCGTCGAGAGGCACGCGGCGGAGGGGTCTGAGTAGCACACTCCGGCGCGCGTTCATCCATCCCTGTGTACCATGATCTCTTTCAGATCGAGTTCTCCAAAGATCAATTGGAAGGTAAGTGGGTCCGCCCCCCCCCTACTATCCCCCCCTACTACCCCCTCCCCCCCACTATCCCCCCCCCCGCTCGCCCCCACCCCCCCCCCTCTCGACCCCAAACCCCCCGCTGTGCATGAGCGGTTCACTCCGCGCAGTCTCCGTAGGACAGAGAAGCCTCCGTTGAGACACGAGGGTCTCCCCGCACGGGGCATAGAGCGGCGAGGTCTGAGCGAGTCGCTAGCAACCTCGAGTCGACATACAGAGAGGGAGAGAGAGAGAGAGCGAAGTTGCTTGGACATTGTGACGCCTCTGCGACGCGACGTCGAGGCTTAAGAAAAACGAACGGAGGGGTGCAGCTGAGCGAGACTCTGGACGGAGCGACAGCCAAGGGAGTGATCGCGTCCCAGGAGGTTGTCTAGGGGCGGGGCGGGGGGGGTGCGTTGCGTCGCGAGGCCATCGGCAACGATTGATGGAGGCCTCCATCCAGCAGTGGAATTAGATCGTGGCCTGTGATCTCACAGTTTGCGCTGCGCGTCAGTCGGAGCGGGCAGCGGCGTTGAGAGAGCTCTGCGATCCGAACCCAGCCACCAGAGTCCCCGTGGCGCACACGCGAACCGACCCTGAGCCCAACGTAGTTCCGACTCGGACGTTAACGAGCACCCGGTTAACCGCGTGTGAGCACATCAGCGGCCAGCAATTGGCCTCGCGAACAGCACTTCACTTCAACTGGCTGCGTGGGCTACGCGGGGGATATACAGTGTTCGTGATTGTTAGGGGCTTCGTTAGGGGCAATTGTTAGTCTTGGCTGTGGGGTAGGCCGGGCGCTATTCCCCTTTTTTCGTATTCGCTTCTTGATTGTCTCTCTCTCTCTCTCTCCGCTGGCTTTGTCTACACCGCGACCAAGGCAACACGGTCGCGTCCTCTCACTTCTCCCTCTCCACCCCAACTCCTCTGCCGCTCTCCTCCATCTCCCCTCCATCTCTCCATCACCCCCCCCACCCCCCCGTCCTTGACTCCCTCCCCATCTCCACACTCTTCCCCAACTCTCACCGTGTCTCTCCTCTCTCCCACATCTCCTACTTTGACTCCTCTGCCCTCTCTCCTCCATTCTGTCTCTCTCTCTCTCTCCGTGTCTCTCTCCCCCGTCTCGTCCATCACATTTAACTCTCTCCCCTCCCTCCTTCGCTCCATTTCCTCTCCATCCTCCATCTCCTACCCCTCTCTCGCTCCCGTTTCTCTCTCTCATCCCCCCCCACCTCCTCTCCATCCTCCATCTCCTACCCCTCTCTCGCTCCCGTCTCTCATCTCTCTCTCATCCCCCCCACCTCCTCTCCATCCTCCATCTCCCCTCTTCTCACTGTCTCCCCCACCCCCACCTTCACCCACCCCCCCCCGCGCAGAGTACAAGGAGGCGTGGACCCTGTTCGACAGGCGTGGAGACAACAAGATCACGCTCAGCCAGGCCGGTGACGTGATGCGCGCCCTGGGCCAGAACCCTACCAACGCCGAGGTCAGCAAACTCCTGGGGAACCCCAAGCCGGAAGGTACGGAGCGTACCTCATACCCCCTCCCCCTACCCCCAACCCACACCTACCCCCTCCCCCCAACCCACACCTACCTCCTCCCCCTACCCCCAACCCACACTTACCCCCTTACCTCAACCCACACCTACCCCAACCCACACCTACCCCCCTTACCCCAACCAACACCTACCCCCTCCCCCTTAACTCAACCCACACCTACCCCCCTACCCCAACCCACACCTACCCCCTCCCCCTTACCTCAACCCACATCTACCCCCTTACCTCAACCCACACCTACCCACACCTACCCCAACCAACACCTACCCCCCCTCACCTCAACCCACACCTACCCCCCCTACCCTAACCCCCCATACCCCCTACCCCCAACCCACACCTACCCCAACCCACACCTACCCCCCTACCCCAACCAACACCTACCCCACCTACCCCCCTACCCCCAGCCCACACCGACCCCAGCCCACACCTACCCCCCCCCACCCCAGACCACACCTACCTTCCTGACCCAACCCACACCTACCCCCTACCCCCAGCCCACACCTACCCCAGCCCACACCTACCCCCCTACCCCAGACCACACCTACCTTCCTGACCCAACCCACACCTACCCCCCTACCCCCCCTGACCCAACCCACACCTGCCCCCTACCCCCAGCCCACACCTACCCCCTACCCTCAACCAACACCTACCCCCTACCCCCAGCCCACACCTATCCCCTACCCCCAACCCACACCTACCCCCTACCCCCAACCCACACCGACCCCAGCCCACACCTACCCCCCCCACCCCAGACCACACCTACCTTCCTGACCCAACCCACACCTACCCCCTACCCCCAGCCCACACCTACCCCAGCCCACACCTACCCCCCTACCCCAGACCACACCTACCTTCCTGACCCAACCCACACCTACCCCCCTACCCCCCCTGACCCAACCCACACCTGCCCCCTACCCCCAGCCCACACCTACCCCCTACCCTCAACCCACACCTACCCCCTACCCCCAGCCCACACCTACCCCCTACCCCCAACCCACACCTACCCCCTACCCCCAACCCACACCTACCCCCTACCCCCAGCCCACAACTACCCCCTACCCTCAACCCACACCTACCCCCTACCCCCAGCCCACACCTACCCCCTACCCCCAACCCACACCTACCCCCTACCCCCAACCCACACCTACCCCCTACCCCCAGCCCACACCTACCCCAGCCCACATTGAGTGAACTCGCGTACTGAGTGGCCGCAACTCTCTCGCTGAGTCACCGATTGACTGCGCGATGGACTCCCTGACTCGCTAACCCCCCCCCCCCGCCGCGGTCCCCAGATTTGGCCAACAACACGCTGGACTTCGAGCAGTTCCTGCCCATCCTGCAGACCCTGGCCAGCGCCAAAGACAAGGGGACCTTCGAGGACTTCGTGGAGGGTCTGCGCGTCTTCGACAAGGAGGGCAACGGCTTGCTGCTCGGCGCTGAGCTGCGCCACGTGCTCGCTACGCTCGGTACGTGATCGTGGTGGTCATGGTGATGTGGTGATGATGATGATGGTGATTCCAACGTGGTGGTGGTAGTGGTGGTGGTAATGATAGCGATGTGGTGATGATGATGATGATGGTGGTGGTGATTCCAACGGTGCTAAGCTGCGTCACGTGGTGGCCACGCTATGTGCGTGATCGTGGTGGTGGTGATGGCAATGTGGTAATGATGATGGTGATTCCAACGTGGTGGTGGTGGTGATAGCGATGTGGTGATGATGATGATGGTGGTGATTCCAACGGTGCTAAGCTGCGTCACGTGGTGGCCACGCTCTGTGCGTGATCGTGGTGGTGGTGGTGGTGGTGGTGATGGCAATGTGGTAATGATAATGATGATGGTGATTCCAACGTGGTGGTGGTGATAGCGATGTGGTGATGATGATAATGATGATGATGATGGCGATTCCAACGGTGCTGAGATGCGCCACGTGCTCGCTACGCTCGGTGCGTGATCGTGGTGGTGATGGTGATGGCGATGTGGTGATAATGATAATGGTGATTCTATCGATGACGATGTTTCGTGTGCAGGTGAGAAGATGGTTGAGGAGGAGGTAGAGACGCTTCTCGCAGGACACGAGAACGCGGACGGATACATCAACTACGAGGGTGCGTCTAGCATGCACCACGCTCTGCTGACGATGATGATGATAACATTGGTGCTCATCGTGATGATGATGATGATATGCGTGATGATGTGATTGACTTGATGATGATGATCGTGATCATTATGCTGATGGTTATGACGATGCTTATGCTCTGAATTGTCTTCATCTTGCCCGCAGCTTTCATCAAGCACATCTTGACCAGCTAAGCGACTCGAGGAGGTGAGGCGCAGCGCGGGTAGCTGCTCACCCGCACGTGGCTCACCCACGTGGCTTACTTATTGTGACGTAAACGTATCCATCATCGGCTGGCGTGACGTCATAAGTGTAATGGGCCCCGTGTCTCCCCCCCAACCCTCCCTCCCTCCCTTCCTCCCTCCCCCATCTCCCTCTCTCCCACATCTACATCTCTCCCCCATCTCCCTCCCCCCATCTCCCTCCCTCCCCCAATCTCCCTCCCTTTCTCCCCCATCTCCCTCTCTCCTCCATCTTCCTGCTTCCCCCAATCTCCCTCCCTCCCCCAATCTCCCTCCCTCACCCAATCTCCCTCCCTCCCCCATCTTCCTCCCTCCCTCCCCCAATCTCCCTCTCTCCCCCATCTCCCTCCCTCCCCCACACAGAGCTGGATCGGCTAGCGGAAAATCCGACTCCGACACAGATCTCGGGCCCCGCCCCTCCCGCACCCCGACTCCCCCTGGCCCCCGCCCCCCCCCCCCCCCCCCACTCGGCACACACACCGGCAAAATTATTAAATTATTTTTCTATACAACTCCCCGGACACCGCTGGGCAAACAAAATAAAAGTCTACAACAGCGAGAGCCAGGCTGAGATGACCATCACGGGCCCCAGCGAGATACCACCACGATAACAACAACAATAACAACAACAAGCAGTAAACAACAACAACAATAACAACTGCCTTCGAGAGAGAAAGACGAGCAGAGATCCCGGATCCTCTGCCATCCCACCCCCCACACCACTACCCACGCCGCCCGAGAACCACACCATCAGGACGCTCCCACGCGTGATGTCACCTTGATGAAGTCTACGCGGCGGCCGTCAGTGGCGGCGAGGAACGTGAACCCCCCCCCCCCCGCTCAGCCCCCCCCCCCCCCCACCACCACCACGCAGGAGAGGGAAGCAAACGTGGGGGAGCGATTGGTGTCCAACGCGCGCCGACGCGGCGCGGGAACTCATTCAATAAACCTCGTGTTTACGCAAAGCGTGCCTCGTCGCGTCCGTGTGTCAGTGCGTGTGTGTGTGTGTGCCCGTGTGTGTGCCCGTGTGTGTGTGTGTCTGTGTGTGTGGGCCCGTGTGTGTGTGCCTGTGTGTGTCTGTGTGTGTGTGGGCCTGTGTGCCTGTGTGTGTTTGTGTGTGGCTGTGTGTGTGTGCCTGTGTGTGTGCCTGTGTGTGGCTGTGTGTGTGCCTGTGTGTGGGGCAGTGTGCGTGTGCCTGTGTGTGTGCCTGTGTGTGTCTGTGTGTGCCTGTGTGTGGCTGTGTGTGTGCCTGTGTGTGCCTGCGTGTGTGGCAGTGTGTGTGCCTGTGTGTGTGGCAGTGTGTGTGTGCTTGTGTGTGTGCCAGTGTGTGGCCTTCATAGGTGCTCGCTAACAGCACTTGCCCCTACAGTCTGTTACAGGCTATTTGGGGGATCTTTGTCTTTGTGCCAGTGTGTGTGTGCCTGTGTGTGTCTGTGTGTGTGTCTGTGTGTGCCTGTGTGTGTGCCTGTACGTGGCTGTGTGTGGCTATGTGTGGCTGTGTGTGTGCTTGTGTGTGGCAGTGTGTGTGTGTGTGGCTGTGTGTGTGTGGCTGTGTGTGGCGTTGTGTGACTGTGTCTGACTGTGTGTGTCTGTGTGTGCCTGTGTGTGTGGCTGTGTGTGGCTGTGTGTGACTGCGTGTGACTGCGTGTGCCTGTGTGTGCTTGTGTGTGACTGTGTGTGCCTGTGTGTGTCTGCGTGTGTCTGTGTGTGGCTGTGTGTGGCTGTGTGTGACTGTGTGTGGCTGTGTCTGCGTGTGACTGCGTGTGCCTGTGTGTGGCTGCGTGTGTCTGTGTGTGGCTGTGTGTGGCTGTGCGTGTGACTGTGTGTGCCTGTGTGTGCTTGTGTCTGCGTGTGACTGTGTGTGCCTGTGTGTGACTCTGTGTGGCTGTGTGTGCCTGTGTGTGTCTGTGTGTGGCTGTGTGTGTCTGTGTGTGTCTGCGTGTGGCTGTGTGTGTCTGTGTGTGCCTGTGTGTGGCTGTGTGTGGCTGTGTGTGTCTGTGTGTGACTGTGTGTGGCTGTGTGTGCCTGTGTGTGTCTGTGTGTGGCTGTGTGTGGCTGTGCGTGTGACTGTGTGTGACTGTGTGTGGCTGTGTCTGCGTGTGCCTGTGTGTGGCTGCGTGTGTCTGCGTGTGTCTGTGTGGGGCTGTGTGTGGCTGTGCGTGTGACTGTGTGCCTGTGTGTGCTTGTGTCTGCGTGTGACTGTGTGTGCCTGTGTGTGACTCTGTGTGGCTGTGTGTGCCTGTGTGTGTCTGCGTGTGGCTGTGTGTGCCTGTGTGTGCCTGTGTGTGGCTGTGTGTGTCTGTGTGTGCCTGTGTGTGGCTGTGTGTGGCTGTGTGTGTCTGTGTGTGACTGTGTGTGGCTGTGTGTGCCTGTGTGTGTCTGTGTGTGGCTGTGTGTGGCTGTGCGTGTGACTGTGTGTGGCTGTGTGTGGCTGTGTCTGCGTGTGCCTGTGTGTGGCTGCGTGTGTCTGCGTGTGTCTGTGTGGGGCTGTGTGTGGCTGTGCGTGTGACTGTGTGCCTGTGTGTGCTTGTGTCTGCGTGTGACTGTGTGTGCCTGTGTGTGACTCTGTGTGGCTGTGTGTGCCTGTGTGTGTCTGCGTGTGGCTGTGTGTGCCTGTGTGTGCCTGTGTGTGTCTGTGTGTGGCTGTGTGTGTCTGTGACTGTGTGTGGCTGTGTGTGGCTTTGTGTGTCTGTGTGTGGCTGTGTGTGTCTGTGTGTGGCTGTGTGTGTCTGTGTGTGGCTGTGTGTGACTGTGTGTGCCTGTGTGTGACTCTGTGTGTGGCTGTGTGTGACTGTGTGTGACTGTGTGTGGCTGTGTGTGTCTGTGTGTGGCTGTGTGTGGCTGTGTGTGACTGTGTGTGGCTGTGTGTGGCCGTGTTTGTGCGTGTGTCTGTGTGTGTCTGTGTGTGCCTGTGTGTGTCTGTGTGTGGCTGTGTGTGACTGTGTGTGACTGTGTGTGTCTGTGTGTGTCTGCGTGTGTCTGCCTGTGCCTGTGTGTGACTGTGTGTGACTGTGTGTGGCTGTTTGTGGCTGTGTGTGTCTGTGTGTGTCTGTGACTGTGTGTGTCTGTGTGTGGCTGTGTGTGTCTGTGTGTGACTGTGTGTGGCTGTGTGTGGCTGTGTGTGCCTGTGTGTGGCTGTGTGTGACTGCGTGTGCCTGTGTGTGGGGCTGCGCCACAAACCTGGCGACCCGGGTTCGATTCTCGCTCACGGCCAACGCCAGTGACGATTATTCGAACCTGTCCTGGGCCTCCTCTAGGTCGAGTCAGACTAAAACGAGTACCTGGTGCGATGTGTAAACATCGCTGCTAGGGAGACAAAGGCGGCCGGGCGTGGTACTGGCCACCCACCCCCTCGTGTGCCGTGCCGGCCTTCATAGGTGCTCGCTAACAGCACTTGCCCCTCCAGTCTGTTAAGGCTATAGGGGGATCTTTGTCTATGTGAGGAGCGGTAGTTTAGCGGTTAGCGCGCTCCACTACGAACCCGGCAATCCGATTTCGATTCCGGCTAAAGGGGTCATGAGCCTCTCCTAGGTCGACTCAGCCTCAAATGAGTACCTGGTGCGGTGTGTAAACATCGTCACTAGGGAGACAAAGGCGGCCGGGCGTGGTGCTAGCCACCCACCCCCTCGTGTGCCGTGCCGGCCTTCATAGGTGCTCGAAAACAGCAATTGCCCCTACAGTATGTTAAGGCTATACGGGGGATCTTTGTCTTTGTGTCAGTTTGGGTGTGTGCTAGTGTGTGCCAGTGTGAGTGTGTGTCAGTGTGTGGTGTTACCATCAGCCCCACCAAAACTAAGCACCTGCCTGGGTATTTTGTGCCATCAAACACTCCACCCCCTCAGCTCCCCATTGGTGGTGGAGCAGTTGTGGAGAGAGTAGAGAGTTTCCCATACCTGGGCAGTGTGCTCATGACCGTCTCCGGTTTAACAGCAGAGGTCTCACTTCGAATCAGTCGAGCGGCAATATCTTTTCATCGGCTGCGTAACGCTGTGTGGAAGCTACCTGGTCTGTCGCTCCGCACTAAGCTACAGGTCTTCTCGGCCACGGTCATTCCCTCCCTTCTCTACGCTTGCGAAACGTGGACCCCCCTAATGGAACATCTTCGCCGGTTAGAAACATTTAGGCTGGCCTGCCTACGATCCATCCTGGGTTTAACCAGACTGGATTGTGTGAGGAGCTCACAAATCCTTGAAAGATCCGGGCAAGGTCCCATCGGTGAGCTCCTCCGGCAGGCAAGGCTGCGATGGCTGGGTCATGTAGCCCGCATGCCCAGCCACCGCATGCCGAAACAGCTTTTGTTTGGCCGGATTGAGGGGGCTAAGCGGGCGCGGCACGGGCTAGAGAAGAGATGGAGTGATGTGGTACAGGAGGACGTGGAGCTGAGTGGACTTGCCGATGACTGGTACCAGCGGTGTCAAGATCGGCCTCTGTGGAGGAGGCTCGTGAAGGATGCTACTGGGCAGTTGGAGGCAGTCGCCCTCCAACAACAACGGAGGGCCGAGGAGCGACGCTCAGAACAACGAGCGGAGCGCCGGGTGGCTAAAGCACAGCAGGTTGGCACAGTAGGGGGCACAGGTGGTGCATCAGCCAGTCATCTCAGTCAGTCGACCCGTGGCACCTGGGTCTGCCCCGTGACCTCCTGCCAGCGGGCGTTCGACACTTCGCGTGGCCTCAGGGTGCACATTGCCTGGCACAAGCGTCGTGGTGACGTCACCGCCACTTAGTGGTGAATGGCGGTTGTTGTTGTTGTGTCTGTGTGTGTGTCTGTGTGTGTGTGTCACTGTGAGTGTGTGTGTCTGTGTGTGTCTGTGTGTGTGTGTGTCTATGTGTACGTGTCTGTGTGTAGTCCGGCAAAACAACCCCCTACCTCCTCGCGGTGCCGGACGGGCAACTCTGTCGTGGACAGCGCTGTGGGGGGAGTTCCAATTTTGATTGGCTCCTCCCCTCATGGCATATGTGTCCACCACAGGGGCTAAACGGGGGCTCTGGACGGGTGCGAGGGGCTGGTAACCCCTCCACCTTCAATTAATTACCACAAAACCACGAATTAAATTGAAATATGTAACAACTAAGCTTGTGCCGGAGGCCCCGGGGAGCCAGGCGTCTATGACGTCTCCTGGCCAAACCCCAATTGGCGGAGCCAGGAGATTGAATACCTACCCTCGGGGCTACTCCAGAAACAACGAAAAGCCACTACGGGTGGCCACGTGGAATGTTCGAACGCTCACTGCAGAGGAGAGGCTGCCACTCCTCTGTCGGGAGCTGGACCGGTACCGCCTGGATCTATGCGGCATTCAGGAGGTCCGGTGGACCGGCTCTGGCTCCTGCCACCATGAGGGGTGGACAGTCCTCTACTCGGGGCAGCAGACTGCCAAACAACAGGGTGTGGGTCTTCTTTTGAACAAAATAATGAAGGGGGTGTGGGAGCGTGGCGGTGAGGTGTGGGAAGCTGTAAGCCCCAGGCTACTTTGGGCTCGCCTTCCCATCAACCGGAGGCGAGGAATGGTGGTCGTGGTTACTTATGCCCCCACCGAAGATGAACATCCGTGGAGGGATGCAGGCAAAGCCGATGAGTCAGATGCCTTCTATGACCTCCTGTCACAGGTGCTGGCTAAAGTGGCCCCTCGGGATA